GACAATTATCGGCTCTCCATCATCTCCCATCTCAACTACGAGTCAAGTATTGATGACCATCCAAACTATCACAAACCACAAGTACGGTTTACTGCCGAGGATCTTCCTAGACAGGATCCTTATCGTGTTGATAGAAGAAGCGACCCTTCTCGCAAGTACCATGGTCTCTGTATGGTTGTATGAGTTCTCTCGAGCTCTTCGTACTCCGACAGCTGGAAAGATTTCCTGTTGCTAGAGGCCCTGCTTAGATTTCTCCCAATTTTTGGACTACTGAGAATCTTGACGATCTTGAAGTGCGGTTCTTGAACCCCTCTTTTCACCGATATTAGAGGGAAAACCAGAAACCTGTAAAACTTGGGAAGAACGCCTGTGACGCGACGGCAGTGCTTCAGAAGACTCTGCAGCTGGAACGACCGATGATGGGGCCTCTAAAGCGGATCCAGTAGTACCCCCATCAGCCTTAGTTACTGCCGGGCGTTGACGACCCTGGGACCCCTTCTCTCTTAGCCTGGCTTTAACCGGTCTTACGTGATCTTTGACGCTTAACATGCGAGTTGTCATCCGTGACAAACCTTTCATTCCTTCTACCGCGCCCACAACCCAGCTTCCGCTTCTTGTGAGTGCCTGACTTTGCATTCTCTTGATGAACTTCATGTGTTCCATCTGAAAGAAAATAGTTCAGTTCTCATTTTTTACCTCACTCACCCATTGGATTCGCTTCTTCTGGTTGTCAGTAAGCTCGTTTCTCTTGAGCAAGACAGCAATGATAAGATTCATAACGACGTAAACTGTCACGACGAAGTAAAAGACGTATAAAAACGGTGCCACTACGCTGCAAACACGAATGCGTCAATACTAGAGATACTTGAGTGACTGCTTACTTATATTGAACTCCAGGTCGCAGGGAATTCCACATTTGGTTTAGCCAGGATGGTTACCGTAAACCAGACGAGCATGGCTTCCAGTATGGAATCATGATTTCCTCGCAGATACTCTTCAGGAAAGCTGTAATACTGTCCACTGTACAATTCCATGCTGATGATAGAGATTGCTATGATAACCAGAAGAAAAAAGGAAAAAAACCCCGCCAAAGAGCCAACACTTTCCATGCATTCCTCGCAGATACTCTTCAGGAAAGCTGTAATACTGCCCATTGTACAATTCCATGCTGATGATAGAGATTGCTATGATAACCAGAAGAAAAAAGGAAAAAAACCCCGCCAAAGAGCCAACACTTTCCATGCAAGTAGCCTGTATCACGTACTAAAATCAATCAAAGTGAATGCAGCAACTCACCACTACACTGGGATGTTTTGCAACATACTTCTTTGAAGAGTAAAACCACCGCATGATTGTTAAATTTGGAAACGAATGAGAACAATAGATATCATAACGATTATCAAGTCCAGCAAATTCATTCCTGGAAATTTAAGGATCAGACCAGAAGACAACCGGAAACAATGTACTCACCGTGGCAAAAAATATCGCCAGGACCGTACCCTAGAAAGTACAGCAGAAGTTCCGCGCTAAAAGAAAAAAGCATTACTGCTTGCAACCCGTCTGCATACAAAATTTATCAGATGAATGAACAGAAAGGAAGTCGTGAAATGAATACCGAGCGTATGCAACAACCGTTTTGACATGCCATACTTGAAGGACGATAAGAGCACAATGTTATCAATGTCTTATTGGCTCGCTGCCCTTCAGCATCCTTCACATCATGCATGACGAGGCTCCATCCTTCCACAATTATCACCTGCAGAGTGACCACTTTGAAGTGTGCTAAAGGCGATAAGATGCTATGAAGTGACACAAACCTGAAACATGGTAAGCAGCGAATACCAGAGATAATCAAAAGTTGTCGCGGATTCTGGTATGTCTACAAACAAAAAGATGGATAAGGAATGAGCTTATAGGAAAAACTCACCATACAGTTCTGAAATGGTGGACATACGTAGCCGCCAGCAGCTTTTTTGTCACAAAAGCGCATGGGATAAGCAAGTTGCTTGTCCGCTGTTCGAAAGCACCTGCCCAAGAGGATTTTGATTTCACGTGATAAGAACTATCAAGATTACCTTTGATTCATCGAGCTTTGCAAGAACTGCGTGCCGAGTAGAGAATAGAAAACCAACAGAAAAAACGTCAAAAGGATAACGTTTTGGAGAGGACCAACGCTCTTTTTCACGGCCGCCGTGATGGCCTATTGTCAAGTGTTAACAGTGCACAGATCAGCCGAAAGGAGATTTACAAACCATACTATGACATCGGCAAAAAATGAGACGTGCTTCAACGCTAGCAGGCCCCGAAACACGCGGAACACGGCTGTCCGCGCGAAAAAATCATGTCCAGTTATGCACCTCCCAAAGAGCTGGGGAAACACTTACGACCATCAAGTACAAAAGCTCAACATTACCAGGAATCGAAAACAATGACAAAGTCGAGCCTATGGATTCCACATGTAGCAGTGACGACCTCTGGTAAAACCAAGAGCCGAAATTTGTAAAACCATTTCAATCCTGCAAACACAAGTGTGAGGAGAAACAAGGATGGTAAACTTCTATCCATGTACTGATTGTAGAGAAGCCTAAAAATGTATAAGCGTGACGGGCTGTAGAGGCCACAAATTCCAAGCGCAGTGCCCTCCATTCTTGCTCCAGTCCTGACAGCACTCCGCCTTGCCTTTCTTCCAATATTCTAGAAACAGAACATAAGAACTCTCCAAAGTCAAAAGAAGTGAAGTTACCATGAGCCTCTTGATCGCAGTGTAAGCCCTCTTGCAGTTCTTGGTTGCCCGGGAATCGGGAATCGCTGGGGCCAGTTGATCCAGTGCGGCAATCAATGCGGCAGATAAAGACGATGACACTGCTCGGTCGCGATCCGGTGCTCCTTTGCTCAATCGGAGGCAGCCATGTCGGATGCGGAGCTATGAAATCGTGATCTTCTTGCGGGACGGGATCACTGCAAGAAGTATTTCCAGGCGATCGATCAATCACTAGCTAAGCTACATTATGCCTCTCAGAAAACTACTCAAACATGCATTCAACCATGACAAAAGTTAAAATAGAGTTCAGCGAACAGGAGAGATAAAAGTTTCCATTGTGTCGTACGAGCCGTTATAGGACATCCTGATGTAGAGGGCGATCGTCATAGCTTGCGTCGCCGCCTCAGAGCGCTCATCCACCGGCGAACTCCCTCCGCCAAGAGCCCCCTAATCCAAAAACGCGTGATACCATAATAGCCTTTTCTCCTTGCGATCGTTTTTGTTTCACAGAAGGAAGAATAAAGTATAGGAGAAAAAACTCCTCTGCATTGATAGCTTGGATCGTATAACTGCCTGTAGTTCCAAGCCTGACAGACGTAGTTCCCATGCAGCCGGAGCTTTCTCAGCTGTGCAGCATTTGGTCCGAGAGTGCTTGGCCACAAAACTCGAGCTCCAAAGCCTGAAAGTAAAAATGAGAGTGCTTGGCCACAAAACCCGAGCTCCAAAGCCTGAAAGTAAAAATGTTATGCATTATATGCTTTATTTCGTTAAAGTGGGACTTATTCAGTAAAGTGGGACATTAATTAGCATGTGTTCACATGCCATTTCCTAGTACTTAATTAATATTTATTAATATTTCTATCAGTTTTTTAATTTATTTTTTTATATTTCACAATATTATAACACAAAATCATATGAAAAGTTTTTAATTTATAAATTATAAAGTTAAAATTTCAATTTTTTATTGTTGTTATAAAAATGGCATGTGGCCACACACCATAAGTGGGATAATGAAAAGTCCCACTTTAACGAAATAAAGCATTTATAGGCTTGAAGAGAGAGAGAGTAACCTGGACTCCATCGAGGGGAGAGTTCTCCATCAGCTCGGTGAACTCCTGCTCCAACATTTGCTGCAATCCGGAAGTTTCTGCGCTGCCTTGCTACAAGCTCTTATAGCTTGGACGTAATGCACCGCTTTAAAGCCTTGCGCTCCCCTTCCAAGCGACGTGATCGATTTTCTGGCAGAGAGAACAGCGAAAGAGGGCCAATCTATGTCGGGAGAAGCAGTCCCTGATGGTTCCCACTGGATGATCTTTGGAGGCGGTGGCGCTTCCGCAAGATCATCCATGATATCCTCGTCGCCGTCAATCTGAGCTCTTCTTTGTTGTCGGCGTTGTACCGCCCATAGAGCCGAGCAGTCTCATCTCGCTCTAGCATCGCCGCATACAAACATCGTTCCAATGCTGCGTAGAACAAACGGATTGAGCGCACGCCTCGGCACAAGCATCCAAATCCGAGACCCCACACAAAGTGACGCACGAATTGGGCGTCACATCCTTTGCAAAGCTGCCCACTCGCTTCATCATCCGATCCGATGCGCACACACGCTTGCAAGCGAATCGATCCTGGGAATCCAAATCCTCCTGCTGCTGCTCACTCTCATCAAGCGATGATTGCTGGCGCCGCCATCTCTCCGCAATGCCACCGCCGCCGGATCATCGTGGCGGAGCCTGTGATTCCCAGTAACCCTACGGCCTCCTCCTTGCCCCTAGGGTGTAGATTATATTACGCTATGTGGATACAAGGAAAGAAAGAATATCCACTTGCTAATTGTCGAAAATTCACTTTTAGTTGCTACGGTTAGACGGTTGTTTTAAAGCAATGCCAGACCGAATCGTGCCAAACCCGAGAAAGGATAAGAGCCTCACGTCACATAGCTAGACAACGCTCTTAAAGAATTTTAGGCCCCTTTTTTTTCCACACTGGAGCACGGTGTCAATGGGAGTCGAACCCGCGACCGTTGCTAATAGCTGTCAGGATTCGAACCCGCGATGTTCTCCAAAGGCGGTAGAATGGTAAACCCGGTTGGACACGGCGGATCAACAACGCGCAGATCAACAAGGTCCCATCGATCCAATCGAGCCTCTGGAAGTGTCCAGGAGAAGGACATTTGCTCCACGCGTCCAACTACATGACTGCCAACCTGGAGACCACGTGACGACGTAAGAACTGTGCCATTTTAGCTGAAGCGGACACGATTTTTCGATCATGGAGGTTGTGAGCGGCTTGGTGAGGCCGCTGTGTGTCTTGGGTATGGACGCTGCCAAGAAGGTATGGGACTGCAATGCCAACATTGAAAGGCTGGAGAATGCCATGGCACCCCACATCCAGGCCAAGATCAAAGCTTTCAGTGAGCACAAGGAGCGAAATGGACCTGGCTTTATGTTCTCTGAAGCGGCTCCCTCTCGCTCTGGAAGTGATTGGCAGTGCCATGGCTGTCCACAGAAGTGAAGGGCCACATGTGTGGGAAGAACGATATAAAAGGTTGCACTTGTCCAATGATCCAGACGTTGAGAAGCAGATGTTCAAGCGCTTGAAGTTCAGCTATGACGAGCTGGGAAACTATGAGGGTGAAAAGCTGCAAGAGTGCTTTCTCTATGTGGCCGCATTCCCAGAAGATAGGTGGATTGGGTTTACTGAGTTGAGGAACTGTTGGATGGAGGTTGGGTCAGAACTCTCACCCACAGCGATTGTCAATGAACTGGAACGGAGATGCCTGGTGAAGATATCTAAGTCTTGGAGGGATGAAGAAGCTCCTGGTTATATAACAGTACACGATATGCTACGCAAACTGTGCATAAGAATCTTAAAAGGGAAGTACAGCCCACAGCAAGAGCACGAGAAGGGATGCCTGTTTGGATATGAGTGGACAAGTGGCATTCAGGATGCAACATTTGCTAAAGTCTCACTCATCTCAAAGAATGTTGGCAGCTTTCTATCCGATAATCATGTGCGAGATGTCTTACTTCTGGATGAGTGTGAAGGACTTTCTAATGTGGATGACAGTCTTATCGATCACATACAAGGTGTCAAGGTATTGAGCTTGTGGCGATGCTATGAGATCCGTTTTATTCCAGAGAGCATTTCCAAGCTGAAAAACCTTCAACTGCTTGACATTCGAGAAACAGGAGTGAGTCAATTACCAGATGCGCTTTTCAGCCTGACATCACTGAAATATCTAAAATCTACTCAGTGGATGCCGATAAAATGTAACATTGCATTACTGCCCCAGCTCTCCAACTTGGAAGAGCTGGAGCTGAACGTTGATTCAAAAGAGGACCCCTCAGTTGTGGATTTCACTGGAATTTCGCGTAAACTAAGACTTCTAGAGCTAAGAATGATAGATGGTACAATGAAGGTTCCAGAAAGCATGGGGAAGCTGGAGCACATTGAAACATTGGATTTACATGCGAAGTGCATCGACTTTGTCAGTATCGTTGGGCTATGGGAACTTGTCAGCCTAACAACTTGTAAAATTTGTGTGCAATCCGTTAGTAGAGCTCCCTGGAAGCGAATGTTTAAGAAATCAATCAGGCTTAAAGTTTTTTCCATTACTGGGGTAGAAGACAGTGAAAATAATGATGACACCTTCGAATGGTTGCAACTACGATATTTAAAAATCCGTGATATTATAAACCTATCTTGGTTGCCCCACCGCCTAGAAACACTTGAAATTGACTGCAGTGGTATCCACTTGTTCAACCTGGATGGATCATTCCCACGTCTTGAAAAGCTGTATCTTACTCATCTACACATTGCACAGTCAGAATTCAAGGATGATTTGGCTGCCAGTCTTCCAAATCTGAAGCAGTTGGACTTTTGGCTAGCTCCTGATATTGAATGGGAGCACTTGCCTCTCTTTGTGGCACAGCTCCCCAATCGCCCCGAGAGTCTGAAACTAACGGGTTGCATAAAGAGACTGTTGTTGCCAACCGAGAGGTCGTCACTTCAGGTTAAAGATGTTTTCGTATCGAGCAAGAAGATGCAAAATGATTTCTTTGAGCCATCAGATCAAATGACTGATATAGAAACTGTGACGTTGAGCTGTAATGAGACTATCGTTCCATCGTCCATTGCATCGCTGCCATGTTTGAAACGTCTTCACATTTCGGGGCGAAGCGTGATACATAACGATGCACTGTGGTCCCACAATCACAGCCAGGGCGCATTTCCCAGGCTGGAAGAGCTACACTGCCCGAAAGGCATGAAAATTCCACCTTGGCTTGAGGACCGCCCCAATCTCAAGAACAAAGTTTTAATTTCCAAAGCGTTTTGGTATCGGAACGCCTGTAGTTCGACTTATTGCTCCTCTAAATCAATATATAAAACAATGCGACCGTCTTCCACCACGTCCCTGGCAATCTCTAGCACCTCGGGTTTGCTCCTTGTCGATTCCAATTCTTGTTGAGCTGCACAGCAGCACCTCCTTTGCCAGCAGCACCTCCTTTGCCGGCTCTTATCCTCGCCAGGAAACCTCTCACGAGAGCCTGCATTTTCGTCGCAGCGCCCTGGATGTACACGGCCTGGATCCGCTTCTCACGCTCGATGCGCAGAGTGAGAGGCAACCCCTGCATTAATCCGGGTCAAACGTAAGTATGAAAAGCTTGGAATAGCAGCTACTTAACAGTTGTCCGATCTTATACAGCGTCAGCATTTCCAGCAGTTCCTTGAAAGGGATTCCTTTGTTTGGAACTCAAAAACTCATCACCTCGTACTCTACTCTCATGTACCTGACCAGAACAAAGAAAAAACGAGTGAGAGACAGAGAGAGATTGCGAGGAACATGCGAAACCATTGGGTCGCGTATTTGTAGCGCCGGCCCAGCGGATCACCGAGGGCGTTTACAAATCGTCGCAGCTTGTGCATCCCAATGTATCCCGTAGCACTGGACGATTGTAAAGTTAGTTCCACAAGGACTTGAACGTAATTAAGTGGCTTACTTGGGATCGAATGGTTCTTGGGTCCACAAGTTTCGATATGCTAACAGGTGCTCTGGCATGACCATAGAGTTCTTGTTCACAAGGCCGAAGGTTACAGCGTCCAGTATGACAGCCACAAACAAGTTCATGAATATGTGACTCCTGACCAAGACCAAGAAGGCGAAGAAGATAATCCCGCCCTCTAGATAGCCATAATCGAGCTTGAAAAGATATGGTTTAAGTCGATACTATTGTGCTAAGCTTTGTTTTCCTTTGAAAAACTACCTAAGCTGTTTAGTTTGGCAAATCATCGCCGAGTAGTGTTTTACCGTTTGTGCAGGCGGGTGCATCAATTGTGGTATCCATCATAACGCAAGACCAGTTATCAAGAGTTGTAACCTGTAAAAGAAAAGAGAAACTGAAACTCATAGAAAAGCAAGCCTTTACCTGAAACACCGTGATGAAAGCGTTGATGAAAGTGCGAAAGTTGACAGACGGGCCAATGCAGGTCCCTTCCTTCATTGCACTGAAGAGTTGGAATGCCATCCCCGCAAACATATACATGAAATTGCGAGAAGAGCGAGTATCTCAGCTACAGTTGGCAAACAGATGAATAACCCATGCTCTCGCTACGTGAGGAATGATGCCAAAAACTCGAGCAATGTAGGCAGTGCAGCCGACATAGTCCCCTCACCGTTCCCTTCTTTCCCATGAGACCAATGGCGGCCATTATGAAGAGTCCAAACTCCATCTGCCGTGCAACCTCTTTCTTATAAACCTTCCACCGGAGAAAGGAAAAACCAGGTGGTCAAACAAAAAACAATCGAGAAAAAGATGAATCAGGTACCTCGTCGCCAAGGAACTTCATCACGGATTCAAGGAGGAAATATGTTGTAATCGCACAGTGAGCCATCTGACGCCGGTCCGAAACATCTGCCGACAACCCAGCATAGTTAGTCGCAAGTAGCCCGGAGTAGCCAAGGAGTGCGAGGATCATGCACTTTTGATATGTCGGATTGCGAATCAAGTAGAAGCACATCCCCCGGATGGGATTGCTTGGTCGTCGAGCCAGCGGAATAGCATAAGTTTTCTGGATGATACGGTTCATGTCCCTCCACAGCTTCTGCCTCTCTGTGAGAAGAACTGCTCCAGAATTTTTTCCAAACTCGTTGATAAACACCGATGAAAACTCTGACGATATAAAATCCCCCGATACAGCAGAGTGCCACGAAAAACAAGGCGTTGACAGGACTCGCGTTCCGAACAGGCTGGTGGTCTTCCCTAGTGATGTCCATGACAGGGTACATGAAGTGCGTCAACCAGTTGTCGAAAGTGGAGCAGACGAACATACTGAGGAGGGCATTCTGGATGTCGTCGAAGTGGAAAATGTTATTAACCCAGGCTCGCGGAGCAAGGATGCCAATGTCATTAACATAGAGGCCGGTACAATATGCTCGGTGCGTGATCCTCGGGTCATTGCATTTCCAGAGAAGGCCCCGAAACTGCTGCAGCCCGATGGTTCCAAATATCAGGAGAATTGAAAATGTGAAGAGAATAACCGAAACAATTGCTGGAATAGTCCGAAAAAGATTTGATAATAATGACCTCAGTCCTGTAAACCGAACCACGAAACGAAATGGCCGAAGAGAAGTAAACGCACCGACGGTTGGTATGGAAGTTTCATTCTCAGCATTATACTTCAGAAGAATAAGCGCATCGGTGACGAGAATAAACAAGTCCAAGATGTTGTACCAGTTACTCAGGTATGCGTCTGGCACAAAAATAAGTCCCTGTGCAACGATCTTCATCAAACAGTCTAGCAAAAAGACCTGCTCCAAAACAATGTACAATGTCGAGCAAAATAAGGTAAGCATGTGCTTACCACAAAGTTGATCTTCTGCAGATTCCAGATGAAATCGGGGACAATTATCGGCTCTCCATCATCTCGCATCTCAACTACGAGCCAAGTATTGATGACCATCCAAACTATCACAAACCACAAGTACGGTTTACTGCCGAGGATCTTCCTAGACAGGATCCTTATCGTGTTGCCCTCTCCAAACAGAAGAAGCGACCTTCTCGCAAGTACCACGGTCTCTGTATGGTTGTAAGAGTTCTCTCGAGCTCTTCATACTCCGCAAGCTGGAAAGATTTCCTGTTGCTAGAGGCCCTGCTTAGATTTCTGCCAATTTTTGGACTGCTGAGATGGTAAGCAGCGAATACCAGAGATAATCAAAAGTTGTCGTTCCATGGTTGGGATTCTCGTATGTCTACAAACAAAGAGATGGCTAAGGAATGAGCTTATAGAAAAAAACTCACTATACAGTTCTGAAATACGTAGCCGCCAGCAGGTTTTTTGTCACAAAAGCGCATGGGATAAGGAAGTTGCTTGTCCGCTGTTCGAAAGCACCTGCCCAGGAGGATTTTGATTTCACGTAATAAGAACTATCGAGATTACCTTTGATTCATCGAGTTTTGCAAGAACTGCGTGCCGAGTAGAGAATAGAAAACCAACAGAAAAAACGTCAAAAGGATAACGTTTTGGAGAGGACCAACCCTTTTTCACGGCCGCCATTGTAAAGTGTTAACAATGCACAGATCAGCCAAAAGGAAATTTACAAACCATACTATGCCATCGGCAAAAAATGTGACGTGCTTCAACGCTAGCAGGCCCCGAACGTCGAGCCTATTGTACGGATTCCGCATGCAGCAGTGACGACCTTTGATAAAGCCAAGAGCCGAAATTCGTAAAACCATTTCATTCCTGCAAACACAAGTGTGAGGGGAAACCTCGAAGAGGGAAACAACGATTACGTATAAAGCGCCGTGATGAGCCCGTCCAGGAAATCGATGTTGAAACTCCGGACGTGTGTCCATCGTTCGTGCCTAGACCCAGCCATCGCTTGGAAGATAAGCACTACCATATGGGAGCATATAAGAAACACAAGAACATACTCGGCTCTCCTGCCACCAAAGCCTGTTAGAGGAAGGATGCTAAACTTCTATCCACGTACTGATTGTAGAGAAGCCTGAAAATGTATAAGCGTGACGGGCTGTAGAGGCTCCAAATTCCAAGCGCAGTGCCCTCCATTCTTGCTCCAGTCCCGACAGCAGTCCGCCTCGCCTTTCTTTTTATATTCTAGAAACAGAAAATAAGGACTCTCCAAAGTCGAAAGAAGTAAAGTTACCATGAGCCTCTTGATTGCAGTGTAAGCCCTCTTCCAGTTCTTGGTTGCCGGGGAATCGGGAATCGCTGGGGCCAGTGCGGCAATCAATGCGGCAGACGAAAATGATGACGCTGCTCGGTCGCGATCCGGCGCTGCTTTGCTCACGCCATGAATCGGAGGCAGCTGATCCTCCCATGTCGGATGCCGATCTTAGAAATCGTGATCTTCTTGCGGGACGGGATCACTAGAAGAAGTATTTCGAGGCGATCGATCAATCACTGCATCAGCTAAGCTACATTATGCCTCCGGCGCCTGTGAGCTTCGTCATAGCTTGCGTCGCCGCCTCGAGAGCGCTCATCCGCCGGCGAACTCCCTCCATGGCCGTCACCGCCAAGAGCCCTAAATTCAAACTACCTAATCCAAGAACGCGTGATCCAAGGGCGGCATTTTGGCCACGAGAGCCTTTTGTCCTTGCGATCGTTTTCGTTTCACAAATTTGTGAAGAACACAGTATAGGAGAAAAAATTTCTCTGCATTGATACCCTCATGATCTTAGACACTCGCTCTGGCATCGCCGCATACAAACATCGTTCCAGGGACGTGATGCTGCGTAGAACAAACAGATCGAGCGCATGCCTCGGCACAAGCATCCAAATCCGAGACCCCACACACAGTGACGCACGAATTGGGCGTTACATCCTTTGCAAAGCTGCCCACTCGCTTCATCATCCGATCCGACGGGAATCCAAATCCTGCTGCTGCTGCTTGCTCTCATCGAGCGATGACCGCCGCCGCCGCCATCTCTCCGCAATGCCACCGCCGCCACTCTTGCCGCTCTTGCCGCGCCGGTACCGCCGGATCATCGTGGCGGAGCCTGTGATTCAAGCTTGCTCCGCGTATATTCTGGTGTGTAAAGTAGATTTTATTTTGGCAAATTGTCAAAGAGTTATCATCTGCGATAAAATACCAGCTTTTGCCCATATCCGCGCCATGTAGCATGTCGCCCTCTCTCGTTCGTTCGTATTGCTTTCCAATATACAGGAAAGAAAGAATATCCAAGTGGAGCTCCCCCCCGTTGCGCCTCCTCCTGAGTCACTCTCTCTCCGCTTACTTGGCAGTGATGTGGCATCCTTCTTTTTGTTTTTTCTCCAGCGCACTCCCTCTCCCGTCCGTCGCCGCTGTGCACGCCCTCACGACTCCCGCCTGCACTCCCACCCGCCCTTGCACGCCCAGCGTGCGCCCTAATTACTTCCACGTGGCCACAGTCCCGACACTTAGCCAAATTTCAATCAGCGCGCTCTGTTCCACCCATAATTGACCTAAAAACGTTTCCATTCACACTGGATAATTGACTTAAAAGTGTTTTTGTTTCTTTTATGATCAAGCATGGCAGCAACATCAATTTCCAGAGGTAAGCAATTAATTCAACTTTATATTGATTCAAGAAAATTATTTAAGATCCCCCATAGCTTGATGAGGTGCAAGAATTCTATGAAAAGGATTTTTTTTTGCAGAGATTTAGATTGGAATTTGTCTAAATCAAATGAAATTATAACTCCTATTGTGTATATATTACAGAAGGATATGAACAAGTTTCTAGATAGTGAGAGGAGAAAGGGTGATGGAGTGGATTTTTGATGATTTTCCAACAAAAATCATGATCTTGGAAATTTGAAATGACCCAAAAACACAAACTTTTTATCATTAATTAGGTATATTTTTTTACAAAACATAATTACAAACTTCTTAACACAGGTATTGGTGTAAATATGAAAAACAAGATGCTTGTGAAACATTCTCTACAGTTGTTGAATCTACAGAAAAGTCAAGACTTGGAAGTAGAGGTCAAAGTTCTAACAAACAAGATCAATTTACATAGGAAGTATTCACTTTTAACTTATCGACTACATGAGAATGACGCATAAAGTGTATGTATTTGGAAGAACACAAATCTCGAGAAAGTATTTGTCTATCAAAAAGGTGATCGATGTAAAGATTGTTTTACCATTGGGATTCAGACAACTTGGCAACTACAAAAGATGGTGGACTTTGCAAATAATAATTTATTGAGTCTTGATGCAACTTTTGGAATTAATCGCTACAAAGTAAAATTTTCATTTATTTTTAAGTGAATAATAATTAATAATTTACAGTTCCCATTATACATCATGCTTGCTTTTGATTATTATGGAAATGGTATTCCAATTGCATGGGTTTTAACTTTTAGTGAGAAAGGAGAACATATAAAGAATTGAATGATAGCTTTTAAAAAATGAGTTTTAAAACACATGCCAAATTGGAAACCATGTGCAATAATGATTGATGATGTTGAAGTAGAGATTAATGCTATAACGTAATTAATTTGATATGATATTATTTATTTATTTTTCTTTTATATAGAGCTACATTTGATTGTCAAATTCTATTATATATTTGACATGTAAGGAGGAATTGGCTCAAACATATTATTCATAAAGTGAAATTTTGGGATATTAGGATGGAAATATAAAAATGTCTCAGAGATATTATGTATCATTCAATTCACGCAGCTTTTCATGATGATAATATTATGTGAGCTGAGATTAAACAATTTATCGAACATTTTGAGGTGGATTTTCAAAATGAAATAGCCTTTATCAAGTATTTTCAAGATGAATGGAAGGACAAAGTTGGTAAGTGAATCAATATTTTGATTTTTATAATTTATTTTAATTTATATTTGATAGATACATGGGTTGTTGCTGTTTGAAATTTCCCTCATACTTACAAGGAGACAAATAGTTTGATTAAGGCATTCCATGCAAATATGAAAGTTGCTCGCAGATTGGGCAATTCATCAACTTATTACTAAGGTTTATATAAGGTACTGGTTTACTAGTTATTGCAAAGATTATGGTTTTATTTGAAACCATGCATATGAAAAGCTAATTGATGGTGCAATTGTTAAAGCAAGAAATATCAACGACTCTCAATGGGGTCATTTATAGGGCAACTATCCAGTGTGAATGGAAATGTTTTTAAGTCATTATAGATGGAACTCGGTGATTGAAATTTGGCTAAGTGTTGGGGCTGTGGCCACGTGGAAGTAATTAGGGCACATGTTGGGCCGCGGGTGGGAGTGTGCAGTGGCGACGGACGGGAGAGGGAGTGTGCTGGAGAAAAAACAAAAAGAAGGCCTAATGCCACATCACCACCAAGTAAATGGAGAGAGAGTGAATCAGGATAGTGTTTAATGGGAGGCATCGTTACTGTGCACTTCTGCCTGCCCACTCACCCTCACAGCTCCCGCTTCCCACCCGCCCCCACATGTCGGCTTGCACCCAGCATGCGCCCTAATAACTTCCACATGGCCATAGCCCTAACACTTAGCTAAATTTCAATCAGCGAGTTCCACTTATAATTGACTTAAAAATTGTCGTGAATGTGATTTCGGGTATCGAAAGTACCTGTCGACTAGTCCTTTCGGATACTCTTTCCTTACTGCCATGACGGCAGGAGGTCAGTATTGTTGGACCCTTTATCAATCCCTCTTGTGCTAGTGGAGTTAACTAGGCATTTCGAGTGTATTTAGACCGGACGAGCATAAGGATGGAATTCTTACGTGTTATTAGCTAAACATACTTAGCCCAGTAAGGAGTTCCCATTTCATTATGTTTTGCACTGGCTAGTGACAAGAACCCTTACGTATTGAGATTAGTCCCTTAATATCACTAGATGATAGCTTACCATGTCTATTAAACACCTTTGCTATCATGCCCTTTGTGTTAGTCTCAATTCGGTCCCAAATGCTATTTATGGAAAGTGTCTAGATTTGCTCATTTGGCATATCTACAGAATGTAGAGATTGGCCTGAACACAATGGTATTCGTCCTGTGTCCAAATTCGCAATTTAATGCCATTCTATATTTCGTAAGTTTCAAGCTTGTCCCAGAGAGTAACTCTTGGTACTAAGGGTGGCTTGGGGTGAAGCCCAAAGTGTATGTTCCTCAAGGGGAAGGGGGTGGGGGCCTATGGGGGGTAGTAAGGATAGTGTATAGTAAGGATAGTGGGTATGTCGGGTATGGCCGACCAACCTGAGGCATAGTTTAGCTCCCGCTTGCGTGCCTGTTTTTGTTCTGCGTTTGGCTTGGGTTTAAGCCCAAGTTTCATTTCATGCTAGCTAATGGAGTACCCATGTCCTCATGTTAGGCCACTAGTATGCTGAAATAGCGCCAGACTCCGTTTGGCTCCATTTTGCATGCTAGTCTTGGCATTAGGAAGCTGGTTACTCTAGGACTGTTCCAAGTCGCTCTGGGCTCTCGTCCCTTTGCTCCTTGGGCTATATGCTCAGGTGTTACTCTATGGTCCTCACTCCTTGGCTCCATGCTTGGGAGTTTGGCACCGTTCCTTCGTTCAGTGGCCCAAGCCCTTGAACCTCGGGTTCCACACCACGTTCCTTTGGACACATGGCATGTGACACATGGCATCTGTCATGTGGCATAAAGAGGGTTTAGGTTCTGCTTCGTGGTGTTATCCTATGGTAGGATAAAGGGTAAAAACCACGTGCAGTACAAAAATATTTCCATTCACACCAGAAAGTTGCCTCATAAATGACATAAAAACGTTTCTGTTTCTTTTATGATCAAGCATGGTGGCAACATATCAATTTCCATTTCCAGAGGTAAATAATTAATTCAACTTCATATTGATTCAAGAAAATCATTTAGGATCCCAATGAGGTGCAAGAATTCCATGAAGAGGATTATTTTTGTGTAGATGATTTAGATTTGTGAGTATGTTTTCTTTCAGATGAGAGTATTGAGACATAAATAGTTTGATTGAGAGATTCCATGTAAATATGAAAGTTATACTCGTCCGAAAAAAAACACATTCACAATCTAAATCATCTACACAAAAATAATCCTTTTCATGGAATTCTTGCAAAAGGATTCTGAATGATTTTCTTGAATCAATATGAAGTTGAATTGATTGTTACCTTTGGAAATTGATATGCTGCCACCATGCTTGATCATAAAAGAAACAAAAACTTTTTTAAGTCAATTATATCCAGCATGAATGGGTGGGCTAAGTGTTAGGGCTGTGGCCACGTGGAAGTTTTTAGGGCGTATGTTGGGCACAGGCGGACGTGCGGGGGCAGGCGGGAGCCGTGAGGGCGAGCGGGTGGGCGGGAGTGCGTGGTGGCGACGGACGGGAGAGGGACCGCGCTGGAGAAAAAACAAAAAGAAGGTTTGATGCCACTGTAAGCGACTAATTTTTCCATTTTACTTTAGTCACTTAACTG